ATTACCATCGACGTTCACCTTTATTACGTGTCACGCTTTACATCAACAAAACGAAAAAAAAATAAAAAAAAAGCAATCACCACTTCTTTTCTACGATAAATCTCCCGATCGCTAAAATATGTCAGCGTGCACAACGCGCAACGAACGTACCCCAAGGAGGAAAGACCCCAGAAACACACCAAGGACGTTCACTGGCCCCATGGCTAAAACACACGGGGCCCCGTAGTGTCCTGTCTGGCGCCAGGATAATGAAGCAGCCCGGTCGGAGTTCCACACTAGTGGGGGGGGGGGGGGGAAGGAGGGAGAGGGAGAGAAGTTATCGATCTAACCGCATGAATATTTTAATAGCGAGGAGTTTCGTTTCCATCGTCCGTGGCTAAATTTAACGAAACTCTCGTGGAATCGAGATCGTTTTTCGAGAAAGACGAGACTCGAAAAAGAAAGAAAGAAAGAGAGGAAAAAGGAAGGATGGAGAAAAAGGAAGGAGAAGATTAAGAGGGAACTAGACAAGCGTGAAATTCATATCGTGCAGAGGCTACCGGTTCTGACCATCGTGAAATTAATAGGGGGAAGAAAGAGATCGATGTATTCGACGAATATGGTCAGGGTTTAGGAAGGAGAGGCGGGTGAAAAGAATATGGAAGGGGGAAAAAATTTTAAGAAAAATGAGATACCTACTGAGTTTTCTAGGAGATTATTTTCGAAAATTTTAATTCCTTCTTTATTGATACTTGAGAGTAAAAATAGAGTGAAAACTAACTGATGATTATTTTCTTTGAATTATTATATACAGTAATATACTGGATATTGAAGAAATTTAAAAAAAAAAAATGTAATGTAATTAAGATAATAAATAATTCACGAAAATTGAAAGTCAAATAAAAGTCGATAAAAGTCAAGGCGACCAACTTCTCGATTAAACTTAAGTTTCACGTTGAAAAAATAGTTGCAAAGGTATTTCTATCTCGTTAAACTTGCAATAATTAAACGATATACATTCCAGATAGGTACACACTTATTAATGTCATCTTGATTAACGATTCGTGTACATAATTAGATGCATTACGTGATTCTCCCGTAGAATTCTCTCTTTAATCACTTGAAAAAGAAGAAAAAGATTCATCAAACGTTCCAATAATCTAATTTGTTCCATCGATTTATCGATTATCCTGTTCACGATTATTTTTCTTTATAATAATTGCTGGCTACGTAAGGACGAGATTTATTAAGAATTTCGAATAGAGACACGAGTATCCTCGAGAATAATTATTGAATTTGTATCAATTTCAACTGTCACGAGGCAGCCACATTGATAACAGTGAATTTCCAATATGATTTATCGCCGATTCGCGAAACACAATTAATATCAAGGGGGCGGCAGAGAAGGAGTTGCAACAAGTTGTTAATAAAATAGAGCCTCCTTGATATAATTTCTTCCACTTGAATAATCGACCTTTATCGATGCTCCGTGCAACTGCGCTGGATATGAAAATTATTACATCCCCTTTCTCACCTTACAATTACATATTGAATCGATTCGAACGTATCGTCATATTTCTGGGCATGACTGAAAATTTGATCGAGGAACTGTGTCTGAAATGTAATCAACAGAGGAATTATAACAGGATGATATAAAATAAATAATAAATATTTTTTCTTTTAATAATGAAATCATTAATTTCTTTTATATCTTAAATCAACTGTCAAAAATTAATAACAGAAATTAGAGGAAGAATAAGAAAATTAAGAATTAAAAAATTCGTTTCGATAAAAATTTGCATTTCTCAAATACAGAATACAAAAAAGGATAAATCATTAACATTCAAAATATTATAAAATATATGACAGTAACGTATGATTGAATTATTTACGTAGATTTCGCGTATTTTTAAAATCGTATGAAAAAATTTTCACCAAAGAGTATTTGCTAAGAAATGACGTACGTTAAATTTATTCCTTCTTACAATAACACGTCTCTCCAGGGAAACTACTCAAATTAATTTTTCTCTTCGTTTTATCCGTGACAAAATTGCATCCCTGTAACACGATCACGAGTACAGATTAAAGTTCATAAGCATGAATTATTAAATTTTTGTGTGTCTCTCGTATTCCCCTTCCCCCTCTCGAATTCAAGAATCGGTCAATATCCGATTTCTTTCGATCCATTCATTATTATCAACTTGCCTCCGTGTCGATAATGATCCCATGAATCATTTTTTAACCCAATAAACCGGCGATCGTTGTCCTCGACAACCTTCCTACAGACCTTGTCAGAGAATTCGCTTTCTTTCTTCTTCCTTTCTCGCTCTCTTTCTTTCTCAAAATAATTATGATAACCGATGGAGAGGAAAAAAAAAACGTGTGATGTTGATACAGGGTCTGTGCGTAAATCGAAGATATAAGGTAAAATTTATCGACGAGAATTGAACGTTGGTAAAATCAGAATATTCATGGTGGGAAATTATACGGTTTCCTGTTTCTTCCCTTGTTTGGCTATGTCGCAAACGTGTTTGCAAAAGTCCATTTGTATCTCGATAATGACGGAAAATTAACAAGAGCGAGGTGAAGTTAAAAAATATAGATGTTTTTATAAATGGGAATGTAAATTCTTCGACGCGGTGTTTTACGACGTAACTTCTTCCCAAATGTAGTTCCTACGTTTATTGAGACAGTTTTAAATTCTCGAAGAGAAGATATTAATACGAAAGATGGGATAATTTTAAGCGATAAAATTGATTTATCGATCGTCACTTTTAAACGATTTAGGTAAGAACGAATGTTTTCTCTGGATACGTTTGAGTAGATGATTTCATGCTGGAATTTTATTTTATATTTTTGGAATAAAAGAATAAACGTGCAAAATTAAAAGAATGTATTATTTGTAAAAATTCATAGATCAAATTGTTAAGTGTTAAATTAATTAACTCGCAGTTTCTCATCAAAAGGTTAAAATAAGTCGGATCACGGAAGAAAAAAAAATATTATGACAATGGAATTTATTACAAAGTTGTATTCGACGAAATGACAATGGTTGCACAGCGCTATAATATTTCAATAATAATAAAAAACATTAGACTTATTGTTGCAACGCCTAACGTTAAAGAGAGACAGATTTTCTTAAATCATAATGGTATCACGTGTAACTAATATCAGAATACTTTATCTCTTACACATAATAAAATAGAGACGATGAACGCGCAACTTAAATCTACGAGGATGAGCAACATTCGAGCGAACGAGTTTCATCGATTCCACGCGAACAGATCTCACGTCTGCTTCGAGATTCCCTTTTCCGTGATCGATCGGAAAAGTTTCGAGCGGACGTGCCTGGAAACGAAAGATCAAGACAAGGATTTTTGCCTCGAACGATCTGAATATTTGTTCGTAATTTTCTTTAACAAAATTCCTTAATTAATAAATAAAAAATAATCAAAGTATAATTTTAAGTTAAAATTCATCTTTTTGATATATTTTTGATAACAAATAATTCAAAATATGTAAATCTTGTAAATATATGCAACGTGTGTGAAAAACTATTGCATTATATTTAATCATTTGAGAGAAATCTCTCTAAAAAAATTTTTCGTATTCTCTTATATTTTAATGTAAAACTATCGTTAAATAATGTAAGATAATATAATACAACTTTTGTCTGAAAAATATTTCATAATATTGTCTTATTCGGATCGTTCGAAGTAACAATTCTGTTCGAGATCGTGTTTATAATTTAAGATGAATTACACGTTATTTAAATGGCAGAAGGAACTATCTCAAAGATTGAGGTAATGAGGAAGAATGAGCTATTTAAAACCCTAATAATAAAATAACGTTATCGTTTATACGGCTCTCTCGACGAGTGAGATACTTCCATGACGCGGGAACGTCTTTAAAGAGCTTAGCACAATAGATACATAAATCCTACAAAGAAGTGCGCAGAGACGCTGCCGTGACAAGTCAGCAATTTGGCCGCAGCGGCGGAGCCTTCGAGTTTCAGCCGATCGAGATAAAGGTGTTAAATTAACTTGGTAAAAGTGAACCAAAATGGAGGCCCGGGCAGCTGCGACTTCTCGATCCGCTTTTTCATCACAGAAGCGTCGCAGTGACGAAAGCACGCGACATATATACGTTCAGTCGATTCTCTTCTATGCCGATCATATTTACTTGACAAATTGTACGATTTGCGTGTGACAAAGGATTTTTCCACATTTTTTTTCAAATGTCTTAACGCTAGAACTATCAACTTATACCTATATACATTATACACGGTTGAAACGCTAAAATACCATTACGAAAGTAATTAGATTAGAAGCACTTGCACTTGTTTCTAATAATTACAAAAAGAAGCTGCTCGAATTGATTCGATTTCATAATTCTAGCGTTAATATCTCGGAATTAAATGAAGAAAAGAAAAAAAATCGTATAATCACGAAAAATATCCAATCATCGACTGAACACCATCGAACACCGTGCGTCATATCTCCATCACCACTACCACCACCTTCCTAATTTTAACAAATCTCGAGAGAAAGAAAACACGCTTGCGCGATTAACGCGATCACAAAAATTTACGCAACTACGTGGCGCCACCATCGAGGAGTTTACGAATCGCTAGACGAACGAAAGGAAAAGAAATTGCCGCTCGAGAGGCTTCTCAAAGGCCATCGAGCAGGCGAGCGCGCGCACAAAAGTTAGGTTAGGTATCGCTTTCGCCATCGAAAGGGAAGCGTACTTTTGTTTCGCAACGAGAATTGTTTCGCTTCGAATTCCACGCATTTCGCCCGATCGAATCGTCTAGCGACCATCTTTTCCTTCCCGTCAAAAAAGAGTGGACACCAAAAGAACCAGACACCAGCGAAATCTCCTGGTGGAAGGCCATTCTTAAATATTAATCGGTTGAGGCAGTTGCGTTGGCAAGAGCGAAAGAATCAGTCGTTTTCGTTTATCGTCGACTTAATCGCGTCGCTTTGGACGAGACAGCGAATTGAATTGAATCGTTTTTGTAACGTAATGGCATTGATAATGACGATAAAATTGATTTTCGAAGAATAACATGTACAAAGTATCACACGATTCAATGCTTTTAAACAAATAATTGAAAATATACAATTCAATTGTTTTCTATGAAAAGATATTGTATTAACATATTTGTAGAATATAGTTACGCCAATCTTCAATTTAAGTAAAGAATTTTAATATCGTACAAATATATCGATACGTAAAGTCAAATCTTTAATTCCATGAGAAGATGATATACACGTTGCTTTATGCAATTGAGATTCTCATATTAGTATTTATGTTTTTTTCTTAAATTTTTGATACTATTACAAATTGGGAAATCGAAATAAAAATAAATATATCAAAAGAAAAATAATCAATATCCATTATCGCGTTGTACACTTTAATTTGAACGAGCGATGAATAATAATGTTTAAATTGGTATTCCTTATAATTTCAACCTCTCTGACGAAAGACTCGATCGGCCAAGTCAGCGGAGAATCGCTGTGACCTTTTCCTTAGATCTCAGAAACGACGGAGTGACGACCGACCAAAGATAACCATCCGCGCCTAACGAGTCCAAGTTTTCGTTCGCTTATTCGTGAAGCTCGTTTAATCGTTCGTTTTATCCTTGCTCAGCGATGACATTGAATTTCTCGGTCTTACGCAATATTGTCTTCGACAATATTGATGATACGATGAATACAACACAAATAGAACGTAGACATACACACACATTCCATCGTGAAATTACATTCAATTTCATCTTAGAATTTGAACAATCGCAAGATTAATTCCTGATCTCTATTAAAATCACGATTAAAAAATGGCGATCATTCTGTCTCGTCGTCGATTTCGACAAAAGCCACGCGTCGTCGACCTCCCTCGTTCCACACTTCTGTCCACACATCGTTCCACCTCTTCTCCGTTTCACAGGGCCAGAAATTTCATCAGCGCGTCGTAAATTAACCGAGGGTTGATGGTACCGTCCGCAGTGTACCTGACACCCCTCAAGGAGCCATCGTCATGGCTCACGACCCCGTATTCCCCAACGATGAAGCCGTCCGGAGTCCTCTCCTCGACTCTGTACTTTCTGTAGTTCCTACCCTCGACCACGTAGCCCACTTTGTGGCCATCCTCCACCTCGGAGGCGTTCGAGGGCTCGGTGAGCATCATCTGCGGCCCATGCACGTTTCCATTGCTACTCACGCTCACAGACTCGTCCACCTCGTAATTCTGCTCGTCAGGTTCCCCCTGCCGATTCAACGGGTGACCCTCGGAATCGTAGAGCTTGCTAGGCTCGCTGTACACCTTGGCTGGTTGAGAGTACACCTTGGCGGGTTCGGAGTAAACCTTGGCAGGCTCCGAGTAGACTTTCGACGGTTCGGAGTACACCTTTTCAGGCTCGCTATACACCTTGGCAGGCTCGCTGTACACCTTGGCAGGTTCACCGTACACTTTGGCCGGCTCGCTGTAAACCTTGGCCGGCTCGCTGTACACCTTGGCCGGTTCCCCGTACACTTTCTCAGGCTCGCTGTACACTTTGGCCGGCTCGCTGTAAGACTTGGCGGGCTCGCTGTACGGTCGTGGCGATTTGTTGTAGCTCTTCGACGATTGACCGTACATCTTGTTGCTCGGTCGATTGTAGTGGGAAGCGTCGAAGTGTCTGCCTACCTTCCGCCCTTGTACAGCCTGGTATCGTTCCGATTCCACTTCCACGGGCTCCTCGCTCGACTCTTTAGGCTCCGAGCTCTCCTCGGGCAATTCGTAGTTGTCCTCCGTTGGCAGGGTGATCGTGTCCCCGGAAGAAGCGCTCCTTCCAGTGGTGCCGTTCGTCCTTCGATGTTGGGCGAACGACGGGGTGTGTTTGCCGAGCGGGCCAGGCGTGATCGAGCTCTGATGATGACCCGATCGCCAACTGGTGCTAGGCGATCCCTCGTCCACGGAAAACTCGCTTCTGTTCGACTCGGATACGATGTTGCTAAGATCCTCCGTGACGAAGCTGGAGGACGAAGCTGGCGTGGTCGTGGTCGTGGTCGTCGTGGTCGTCCTCGTGGAAAGGACAGTGGTCGTGGTTGTCGCGCTGATCGTTGTTCTCGCGGTCGTGGTCCTCGTGGTGGTCGTGGAAGCCCTCGTCGTGCCGTTCCTCGTCTCCTTCGTAACATCTTTGGACGAAATTGAAATGGAACTGGGAGGCCGTGAGACGACGGTCGCGTCCGTATTGTCGTAATGTTCCACCCTGACCTTGTACGGCGTGGCTTCCACGGTGGACGTCACACTGACGCCTATAACCTTTTGCCGACCTATCACTCCTTTGTTGACCGAGTTGAGAACGCTTGCCGTCGCGTTCGTCCTCGATTTCTCCCGCGTCGACGTGGCTGTCGACGTGGCTGTCGTTGTTGCGCTGATCGAACTCTGAGGAGCAAGCCTCGTCGAGGATATGTCGCCGGTTGTGGTCAACTCGTCGATCAACGATGCCAGATTCTGTTGCCTGTTCTCCAACGTTTTGTGACTTATGGGATAGAATCGAACCACCTCCTCACGGCTGCTTGTGTTCCTCGCTCTTGGGACCACCTGTCTGTTCCCTGGATTGCGCGATATTCGGTAAATCGACGCCTCGTGCTGGTGAGATTCCGCTGTCGCGCTGTCTCCTGTCGAAGCCGGCTGTCCTCCGCGTCTGAAACCTCTGCGCCGCTGCGGTGGTGTCGCCATGGCGCCGTTTATGAAAACGGACAGGAATTCCGTGCCCGCGAGTATGTCGTTCCTCTTTGCTGGAGCGCAGTGTACTTCGTCCCATACCAGTGCCGCTTTCAGCAGTACCTGCAAAATTGTTTGTTTGAAATTCAATGAAATTCGGAGAAAAATTCGTGCGATGTAAATATAATTAATCCTCGTTTGATCGGACGGAATTATTTTTGATTGCGTAATTAGTGATATTTAATATCTACGAGATGAATATATGGATGAAAACTTGATTACTTTGTGAAGATGGGCTTTAAGATAAGAAAAATATTGTTTTAAATTTCTTTTTTAAATATATAAGTATAAAATTATGATTCAATCAGAATCGTTTAAAATTATCAATAGAATTGGTGACGCGACACTAGCGCTACAGAATCATTAACTACTAAGCATATATAATATACTTATATATATATATATATATTTATTTATATATTTATTCCTTTCGATGTTCGTCTTTCGAGTGTTTAAATGACGTTTTTTATATCTTTAAAAACAATTTCACTTTTATTTTCCAAATCACGTTATACGAGGGCATTAATTTAATTTTCACCTCGCATTCTTCTTTCGTTTCGCTTATTTTTACAATTAAAGCACAACTTTTTGGATAATATCGCATATAAAATGCGTTACCGCATTAATTATTTTACTTTAATATTAGCCAAGTTTATTTTTGCAAAATAAATTTATCGACGCTGTTAAAATGCTGACAATTCGGGATACGGTGGGGAATACAACGAGCCAAGTTGCACGAATCGTTATCTACGGAACGCGCAAGAGTCGTGAATTCAGAAAGACAGTGGGACAGTTCGAAGAAAAGCTTGCTATCGTTTCGTCGAGATAAACATCGCGCATGCTTTCGAGTATCTGTAAAATGTTAAAGTTGGACGAACCGTTGCGGGTCCATTAAAGCCACGTGGGATCGGTGAACAAGTTCGCAAGTACTTTACGAGCCGAGGACGCATGTCGGGGACCGCGTTTATTTTTTCAATTCTCGCACCCAACGATAAAGCGCCAACTCGTTTTACTCGACACACGAGTGCCAGGTGCATCCTACCGATTTATAAATTACGTTAAGGCCGCGAAAGAGGGGCAGGGAGAGGCAGCTTGTGGCACGAGGGGAGGAGCATTGACTCGTGTTCTAGCTGTCACCTCGTTATCTTTTGCAAACACCTCATTTCCTAGCTTGATTGGAAAAAATGAAGGCCTTCGACACCTCTCTTCATCAAAAGCTTTTTAAAAAAAAGCGATATACTTGTATCACTTCTTTCGCGGGAATAATAATTTGAAGCAATAAGAATTCGAATACTTTTAGAATTACTTCTAAATTCGAATATTAACGATAAAAATTGGGATAAGGTTTTAATAAAATTCGATGCGTTGAGTATTGAAATTCGTAACGAATTTAATTTCTTAAGTTACTAGCAATGTGATGTTATATTTCTATTACTATTCATTTGCATGTAATAACGAATAATTGTAACGTAACGTAAGACATCGAAGATCAATTTATCATTCAAAGATGTGGATTTTTCTCAAACGAATTCTTAATAAGAAACTTTTGTATCTTTCAGACTTACGATATCTTTCGTCTTATTCCCTTTTATCTTCTGGATGTGGAAATACAAGAATCACGTGCTTATAACAGATGTGAATGAAATTAAAATCAGCGTTCGTTGTTTCGATCAGATACTCATACATTGAAACAGTATAGATTAAGGTAATCAAGTACATTTACACAGTGACTTTGACCATTGAAATTTCAAAAGACATCCTTCACCGGCTCGTAAAAATAGTAAAAACAATCGTAACATGCAATTACCAGTTTTACTTTTACCTTGCACGAAACTTAACTTACGTATTCACAAATATAATATATCTTTTTCGAATTACAAATCGAATTAATTTTTGAACTCACTTATATACACACTTCACAAGTCTTATTAATTGTTTTAGTTTCCAGATAAATATATGCGCGACAAGTTAAACACTTTTCACGATGAAAAATTCCCTGTCCCGAGTAATGAGATATATAAAAATTTCCAAAAAAAAAAAAGTCCTTGATTCTACTTCATTTCAAAACCCCTACGTTTCACGTGTTCTTAATTGTCCTTAAACGGTCGTCGCTTGTTCTTCTTTTCAAGGTTCACCGTCCAAACCCGACATTGTCCGCTACCTCACGATAAAAGCACCGTTAAAATCCACGAAATCCCGGTCGCACAATGATCCAAAACACCGAATTCACGGTTCGCGCGCTTTCTATACACGGGCATAAAGTCTTAATTTATATCGTTATTACGCGATTCCCTGAGAAGAGAACGGAGGATGGAGGGAAAGGGAGAGGGTGAGGGAAACGTAAAAATATTTATCCACGGCACAAAAGCCCGGGATACCCGGGTCGTTAATAATTTAAAAAGGTCGAGACCTCCTCGCCACGGCTTTGCTCGTCGCTTTCGATCCGCCGTAAAACGCTCTCAATTGAAATTTTTGCAATCCCGCGGAAGGTCGTCGCCATTGCGTCATCCCCCTCTCCTCCAAACGATTCGAAACGGTATTAAAAGCGATTCGATCGATTCGCAAGAGATATTCGTGAAAAAGAAGAAAAAGAAAAAAAAGTTACGTATTTTTGGAAAAGCTTAAAATTAATGCTTAAATTTCTCTTGCTTTTTCTTTTTTTTTTTTTAGATACGAAGAAGAATGCAAATATGATTTTCCTTGTGGATTTTTAATTCAAGAATTTCGATGAATATTATTTTATATTATTTAAAAAAAAATTACTAGGGGATATTTTATGCCATCTTGGAGTGGCAGAAAATTTGACAAAATTTTTCTACCTTTTACATGTGTATATTTGTATTTATATTCAGATGGTATTTCGAAGAAAATTATTATAATCGAATTGTTTCCATAAATCGGATGGACACGAAAACGCAAACGGAGATATTCGCTCGATTTATAAAGTGACCGTACAACGTACAGCCAAGACTGGTCTAGAACGATTTCCTGTTGAAAGGAGAACACGTATGTAAGCAGTGTCGTGTAGACACCTCGGATGAGGTCATTCGGTTCGCCCACTTCTTTCCCTGCAGATGTCTAGCGTTTCTGTTGCACATTCATTGTACGAAACATGCAAATACAAAGGGATAGGCATGGAAGAAGAATTGGACTGAACCGAGCATTTGATCGAATTTATTAATATCGTTTAATTACAGAAGAATATGGTAAATTTTCATTTTACGAACGATCAAGTTTCGATAAAGTTTTAAAACGAAAATTAAAAGAGTAATATTTACGCTTTGTCAATGTGGCGTTCGATATTTCAAAGAGGCTCGTTCGATCGTGGCGAATAAAATAGGAATACTTGCTATTATATTTGTCGACTAGAACTAACGATATGTATATATGTATGTATTAATAGAAGTTCGAGACGGAATCGTGATAAAGAAATAACCGGTTGCTAACGAATGTAATTCACGGAGAGACAGAACGATTTGTATCGTTGCAGTGTGACAGTGTGACAAGTAAGAATACCGTTCTTGCTATGAGAATGGCGGATGATACGGGTGTAATAAGTTGTGACATCTCGCGTGGTGTTCGGATCAGATGGAAAATGGAACGAACTTTGAAAATAATACGAACGACTTTATTAGTTCGATGACTCAATGTTCCGAGAATTGTACACGAAATATCATAAATGTCATTTCGTAAATTTTTAGTTACTGGAACTAGTGCGCCATTTTGCATGAAAATATTTATAATTTAAGTATAATTCTGGTATAATTTCTTTTGAAATTTTGAATGAATTTTACAAATACCTTTATTACCGTTTTTTTTCCAAATATTTTTTCCAAAATTTACTTGTACATATCTCACACAATATTCATTAGAATAAGTTAAAGATTTTGAATTTGATTAAATGATTTTAATTAAATTAAAAGCGACTATGTAACCTTGAACTTGCAACTCGCAGAGAAGAAATCGAAAAATTTTGCCTGCGATCAATTTCGACTCAGTGACGCGCTTGTCATTCCATCACCGTAATCAGATATAATTAACGTTACGTCATTGACAAGTGTTCGAAGGTAAACGCACTCCTGTTGTATCACTGTATGTATATATTTGAGCGATGAATCAACCTGTTCACGTTACGAAGAGAATTTCGTTCGTTGACTCGAATGATGAAGCATTTTAATTATTATCGATAAGAACGGCTTCGTTAAAGATACACGCGCGTGATTAAGAGGTTAAGCGTGAATAAAGGAATTTGCGTGGGTACGAGAGCGGACAAACGTTGGTCCAGATCGAGCGGATATATCACTGCGTTATGAACAGTATGCAGGTGCGGCCATTTTAAAGCTAGATCTCGTCGAACAATCGTGATTTTTCGAGAGGATGCGAATGAGGTAAGCGTTACATGTATTCGATATGATTAGATTAAATGTTAGATTTATGTGTGTGATAAACACGATCGCCTCTTCTTCACGAGATGGATCTTGGAATCCTGGAATATTTTAACAAATTTTTCTTGCACCGAAAGAAATTTTTAACTTAAAAATTTAAAATTTTCTCGAAACTCGAAAAATATCGAATAGAAATTTGTGTAAAGTGTTATAACGATATTACGCAATTCTTGTTAAATCGATTACACGCTTGAAAAGATAAAAGGTACTCAAAAACACGATTAATGTAACAAGCCGGTACAAACTGATCCCCATAAATATTGCATAACATTCGATTCGACAGCTAGTATTTAAGAACTCATTAAGCTTTTCTGAAAGGTGACATTAAATAATGAAATACACCGTTTCTACCGCTGTACCACTATCAAGGCGTACACAGACGTTACGACGTCCTAAAATTAATCGACGGAAAGGAACATCCGAGGGTATCGATCGCTCCATTGTATCGTCATTGACGCAATAACGTAATTAAAACGAATGATATCAATGAGAGTATGAATGACGATGCACGCAGGTATGGCTACCATTTTAAATAACAAACGCATCGCGAAGGAATCACGGAATTGAGTATATTGGCAAATGTGAGCCGCAAGTTTCAAGTCACTTTAATCACTGTCA